CCTCTTCTGATTTATTGTGCTATGATACTGCCTTCATTCAAATGCCTCCTTTAAAATTTTCTTTTGTAATCTGTCCTTATACATTTTTCTTCCTCTCTTAAGCTCCCTTTATTTTTGAGGGTGGGAGGGGCTTAAGCATTATTGTTCATTTTATTTCTTTAACTACTACGTTGCCATACTTAGTTAAAGAAATAATTCTCTCTTAGAGTTACTACCTGTCTTTTATATGCTCAGCCATCAGTGCATTTTCAGGGAACCACAGATTTATTTCATGGATAGAGCGGGAGGCACAAGGGGTCCTGTTACTGAGCAGGTGTGGTGACAAATTAGTCAGGAAGCTATTGCTCAATTTAACTCCAGCAGCACTCCACTCTGAACTGTCAGCTACTATCTGTTTCTGCCCTTTCCAGGTCCGTTCATGCTCATCTGAAAAGCAACATTTTTTTTTTCTGCTTTTTCTGAGACGGGTAGGTAGTTTGGGAGCATTATTGTGAAAAATGGATGAAACATCAGACCAACTGGATGATCAAAGGTAAAAGAGCTTCAGAGATAACATTTCCTGCATGCACGCATGCATTTTTGGAAATAAGGCCCTGGCTGAATATCCTACTGCTTACTAGCAAATGTTTTGTCTCCGTGTCAATGTCAGAATTTTAATTGCATTTCTCCCTGACATTAGATACGTAGTCTAAGAAACTGATGTTGCACTGCAGCTGGAAGATGACATGAGACTGAAGCGACACATCCTTCGCTGTGGAATATTTGTCTCCAGCTGTTCCTTTGCGGAGTGGGTTACGGAGACTGCACCTGTGCACGCCGGGGTAGCAGCAGCCAGGGAGGATTCCCTGCCATAACATTTGTCTGCGAAACACATACTTTCTCCCTGAGGAAACGGGCTTATGTCAACAAAAATAGACACTTCAAAAAAATATATATGTAGTGCTGGGAAAAGCTAAGCATCTTTGCTCTTAAATGTGTGGGGTGATTAATTTCATGTGCTATATCCCTCACACACACATTCTTCTTCTTTGCCAAAAGCTGAATGTAATTGGAAGCCTATGAATGTCCACAGTTGCCAGACAGCTTAAAATTGAGATACTGTGAAATGCAAACAAATGGAAATGTTTCTCTGTTGTGTAAATATGCAAGAATTATTAAGCATTAAATACCAGTTGCAAGGAGAATCATTTAAGATGGTCAAAGATGAACCTGAGGTGGTTCTTGTGTACACACCTGGAGCAGGAGCCCAGAGTGGCCTGGACAAGCGGGTTCTTGTCCACACACTGATTTTGCACGCCCTTGGTTTGCAAAGTGTTGCAGCAGCTCCCTAAAATAGCTGTAGGAAGGTATAATCCTTCACACAGATGCCCTCGCATAGGAGTAAGAGTAATTTGTATTCATATAACTTATTTTCTTTTCCAGATGTAAGTAAATCATACTGATCCAAAATAACATTTCTGTTGATGTAGTCGTGTCCACCCTGGGGAAGGTAATGGTTTATCTGGGTGGGCAGAACACAAGCAGCTTGTAGATACCAAGAAGCTCCAAGATGAGAGGGGACATGGCGAGTCTTGCTGGTGTTCTTACTGTCTGGGCATCGGTGGCTTGCTTCGGTGAAGGAAAATTACCAAAGGTTGTTCTTTCACTCCCCTGCATTTTCTTTTTACATTCAGATACTGCTTAGCTACGTTGGGGCAAAGTGCAAAGGAGCTTGAGAGGCTCAGGCCATGTGGGGTCTGTTGTCATCTTCGCTGAACGTCTGCCAGGTAAGTAATTTTTCTTCTGTGCCTCTATTTACCATCCCTCCTTTTTTATTCTTAGTTATTTAGTTTACAAGGTCTTCAGAACATGCACAGTTCATAACTACGTGTCAGTAGAGTGCCCAGGACACTACAATGCTGATTTTTGTCAAGGTGAGAGGGTAACACGGCTACAGAATAAATTCGGAAAAGAGATGGCTAAACTAAACTTAGCTGCAGCCTGAAAATAAAGAAAATTGTGCTTTTTACAAGAAAATTTGCATTTTACAAGAACTGTGCCATACAGACTGAAAATATAAACCTCCTTTACAAAAAGGCAATTGTACCATTACCATTTCTGTGAACACATCTGGCCAATGTTGATGTGTATCTTTTCTTTTGTTATAGATTAAAATGTTTTTGAGTGAGCTCTTCTGACCCACCATTGCCTCTCTTTGTTTAGCGTTCAATTCTGTCAGCCCCTTCAAAATGTAGTGTTCCCCTATCCTGCCATTAAGTTGAATAATACATGCATATGATTTAATCCAAGCTGTCTCCAGCAGTTAGTCGCCTTCTGGAGAGTATCCAGATGTTGCTTGAAAAGAGGTGACTGGAAAAGAAATAAACAATTTCACTTGACGAATTGGCCAGCGTATCTTTTGTCTCAGCCATCTTCCACTTCGAAAATCTTGTTCAAATAAAATAATTGTGCTTGAGACATAAGTAGGGTTGGTTTTTTTTCATCCATGAAGCTCAAAGCTTTGCATAAAGATGGTAAAACATAATTATCCCAGGCAAACAGAAGTGGAAACTGAGGCGCAGCCCTTGGGTTAAACTCAGTAGAAAGGCAAAGAGAGAAAACCAGGTAGTCTGGAGTATTTGGCCTCCTTCAAATATTAGCAAGATTCCTTTCTGCATTAGCCATCCTTTCTGCAAAACAGAAAATGTTTCTGCTCAGAGTGAAAAACATGCCTAAAATGTAATGCTTTCTGTACGACTCTGGGTTACCAGGTGGGCAATGACACTTTCCCACTGTAAGAGCAGTAAATGTGAGAAAAATAAATGGCTAGTTCATTTTTGCAAGGAAGGTGCTGCAGCATCACTGCGAACTCAAGGAGCTTGGTATTCCTGAAGTGTTTTTGCATGATTATTTTTTAGGTTCACTCTTCAGTTACATAACAACATATGCTTTCCCTATTTACAACGTTAAAATAGACTGAGATAAAAAAAAATACTCCCACCACAAATGATATGGCACTGACGTCTACTACTGATACCCCGATGTATTCTTCCACCAAAGCCAGCTAGATGCTGCCTCAATCTGCCATGAAACGTCTGTAATCTCAGAGCCATAAAGTACAGCAATGTGCAAGGAAATGAACCCAAAGAAAAAGCGTCTGCTTGGCAGTCAGAACTTGGAGATTGTCCCTTAAAGTGTCGGTAGCTCCCTGGATCTTCCTAGTGTTCCCAGCGGATATTTTGGGTTGGAATAAAGAAATGCCTCAACTAAGCCTGAAGGCACCTGTTGGAAGGTGTCCCAAAACGTGGGGATTGTCAATAGCGGGGATCAGTCTACGCTGGTGGCAGATGTTTTACGCTCGATAGTGACTGGAAGGAAAATTTCCCACCCAGGAACTGTCAAGCACAAGATGTCTGCAGTGTATTAAGAGCTTTAGAAATAAAATACTAGGTTGTGATAGAGATTTGCTTTACGTGAAGTTTCTCCCTCGTCAAAATAATTTTGAGGAAGAATTGTTTTCCTTTTTTAACACCTGTTTTTGACATTTCTGAAATGGAAAAGCTTTTTGTTGTTGTCAGAATGACTCTGTTATGAAACGTAGATGTAGGTAGGGTAAGAAAGAAGCTATAACGAAGAAGTTTGAGGGATTCCTGCAAAGAGTTCTTGCACATGAAGTAAAAATGTATGTTCTAGAACCTCTCAACCTTCCCATGTCATAAACAAATGTGGAAATGGAAAGGGCAAATTCTCAGCTGTGTGCCAGGATTAAAACAAGCAGCAAAGCCCATCTCCTCTCAGCTCCACCCTGTGCCCTCCCCTTCCCCAGCACCTCCACTACCGTGAAGATTTTAAACTTCAACCAGTCGCCCATACCAAATCCTGGACCTGAAACCAGCGTGATGCTGAGGACACAAGGAATCTTTCTTTTTGGTGGACGATGGTTTTGACAGAGAGTGGTGCCTGTTTGCGTCTGTGCAGAGGTTTGGACAGCCACGTAAGGGCCCTGGTGGAGATGAATTGGTAGGCAGAGAGCAGGTGATAAGGTTAAAAGTGCACGATGGCTGCAGTTTATCACTCGGATATCAGCAATGCGGACATGCCTGTGTGTGTTTGGATTCCAGGCGCACGTATCTGCATACGCGTGTCTAAATCAAGTGGCTGCTCAAAACCTTTAGCAAGTGTCCTCAGCCAGAAACCCCGAAGCCTTCCGTGTTTACCTTCAACACACATCGGGAACTGCTGCAGTGGGTTGCAAAGCGTTGTACTTAAGAAATGAAGTCTGGAGAGAAATGAGTCTTCTGTGCGATTATTTCATACTTTTTGGCTTCTCTGATTCAGTCTAGCGCTGAACCTCTCCCTTCTCTCCTCCTTCCCATTAGCCCCACGAGGCCTTCCTGACCTTACAATCCACCCACAGTTTCCATGTTACTGTCAGCCTCCTTACACTTGACTGATGAGAAATATGTGATTATTCAACACATCATAAAAGCAGCCAGAGCAAATGAAGGAGAAATCTGGAAAGTATTTATAGAAAATCTGTAAACAATCATTGCAATTCAGCTATCCAAAGCTGTGCACACATTAGCTTATTAGCTGTAGAGCTGTCAGATGTTCTTTGGTTCTTTTACCTTTTTTAAAAATTAAGAACTGCTTTGTTATACTCCCAGCCATTTTGTATGTCACAGACTTCTGTTTACAGAAACAATTTATTTTTTGAGCTACAATAACTGAGAAGAGATATTTTTTTTTCCTTATGACTACACATCATTTCATTGACTTCAGAGGTTTGACAAGCACCGATTCACTGACGTTCCTTGTGTGCTAAAAGGCTTCTTGAGGTGACTTCAAGCACATGCATCTGTTTGCTGCGTACAGCTCAACATCAGATTCAGGTAAGTAGGAAGGAGGAGGTGAGAAAGAAGAAGCCATGAAACTCTTCTGGAAAGCGACACAATGCAATGGTGGGACACGTGTTGCAAAGTCTCTCTTCTCTGCAAGAGGCAGGGGTGTTTCTTACTCACCATAGCGTGATTTAGCCAGAGCGGGATGACTCCATCAAGGCTTTGGGGGTAAACCAGCTCTCGATTGTAGGTATACAGTGTCCAAAAGGATATAGCCACAAACTGGAACCAAAATACAAAATGAAAGAAATTTCAAAATGAAAGACAAACATAATTGATAGGATTTGGCTAGTGCTTTCATTTCTGAGAAGGCAAAACATCTCCTACGTGAAAACGGTGATATTGCCAGATAAGCTCATCTATCTCACATGTTACAACATAAAGAAAGGAATTTACTCTGAGATGCAGTGTTCTGTGTTGATACTGCGAGGAAAATCTCCTCTATAAACTGCCAACACTGATATTTTCTGTGGAGTACTAGATTAGCTTTAAAATTCCTTTTTTTTTTTTTCCTTTGCAGATGGGATCCTTTGATGGTCCAGAAGTTCTCCTCGAGGGATTGGCTGTCAAGCCACAGCATTTGTTCTGCTCAGTAACAAAGTAAAAACAGATCTTGGTAAGACAGTTCACATAAAACTTACCCTTATCTTCACAATTCATAGGCCTAATTCCTAAACTGTAGGTGCAAGCTGCACTGTGGGCACCCATTTTTTTTCCCAACAGAGGGATTTACAGTGGGAGAACTTAACTGGACGAAACGAACCCTGATATCAGTTACTGATACCTGGAAGCTGATTTGCACTCTTTTGGCCTGCCTTTGTATTTGAGCACACTTTGTGCTTGGGGTTGGAAATCAGGGGTGTGAGATGCTGGACGAATGAGACTGCCTTGTGCCTCTGTCCTGCAGGCACAGTGAGGATGCCTGGGGGGGGATATGACAGCAGCACCGTGAATACTGCTGTGCAGGGAAGATAAATTAGCCAGTCTCTCTGCCTCCATCCCTGGCAGGACTTTTTTAGTGAGCCAGCTGGCTGAGCTGCTTGTGGACCAGATTTAAGCAGCACTTCTCAACCCTTTGAGATTCAGAGGTGGTTGCAGGCTTCACTCAGACAGAGCGGTACCTACATGTATAAGTAGCCCATCGGTTCCCGTTCAACCCACAGCACCAGATAAACAGCATTTCAATAAACAGCGTTGTCTGTGAGGGAGTAGGTGATCTGTAGTGAATCTGACATAGGCTGTGACTATAATTATTGTCCTGTGAATCTGTTTCTCTCCAGTGCTTATCTAAAGCCACACTGGAGTCAGAGAAGGAGATGTGAGATTTTGCTGCCTCTTAGCTACCCTCTCATGTCCTTCTGGCCTGTGCTGCCCTTTAGAGAAATGCCCTAAGTCGATAAATCCACAGCTGTTTGGACTGTGAGATTAACGGAGAGGTTACACCTCATTCACCCTTTGGGGTCAATCTGTGTTTGCTCGGGGACAGCAACCCTAAAGTTTGTGCAAGAGGCTTTGCTTTCAACCGTGACAGGCTCAGCACTGTTTCTTCTTCTAAACAGTCCAAATCCATTTTCAAATGGTAAAAGAAAGCCTACAGTTCTTATCTATTTTATACATGTGCATGCTATGCTATACACCCCTAATCATTTATGCAAACATTATTTTTACATACAGAGGTTACTTACTGTGGACACTGGGAAAGCCAGGACACTGAAAAGAAGGTCTCTGCTGGAAATTACGCACTTAGCACATCGCAGTTTCTTAATTAGTCTCAACACATCAGCCAGGAAGGACACCCCATAGAAGACAGCCTGCAAAACCTAAAGTAATTACACGTAATGAGGGAAACTCATCCAGCTTTCATTAGCACGTTCCTCAATGAACTCTGTTCTTGCTCTTCAGGGAGCTGTTTTGTTCGTGAGCTGCAAGCCCGCGTGAGGGAAATAGCTGTTGGCTAAATCTTTTTTTACTAACTGTAACTGATTAAATAAAGTTGTTCAGGAGATAACTTTAACAGTATCTCATATAATAGACTAAACAGAGATGTGTGATGTGATTCAGATGGAAGAGGTGGAAGGACATGTTGAAAGCCAGCTCCTTCACACTTCCTCTGTTAATTGTTATGTTCAATGTATCTGAGCAGGAGCAGGAGAACAAAATATGCCAGTTTTCCTGGCATAAAAACTTTTCGTTTCCTGTAAAGCAATTGCTAGATAGTTTCTCCCACCATTTACCCAACACAGGGCCTTTTTTCTGGGGACTCACGGTGCAGCTGATCTCAGTGCCAAGCAGCTCAAAATGCTCTAACATGAGAATTAGGTGCAGAAGTTATCAAAACCAGAACCTCTTTTGCTGAATTCAGAGGGATTCAGGAAAGGATTTCAAGTGCTTAGAAGCAGAGATCCAGACTTCACTAGCTAAAACTGAATAAGTTAAACTATTTATAACTAATGAATTTTGGAGTTGGGGGGGCGGGTTGTGCTTTGCTTTGTTGTTTTTTTTTTCTTTCTTTAAATCATTTACAAGTAATGAGGGTGGGGTTTTTTGGGGAGGGTGCTAGGAGGATTTGGTAAAGGATTAGGTAAGTGCACAGTGACAAAACAGAATTCTGCAAATTGTGTATGAAATTGTCACAATACTGTGGTTTAAGCCAATATTGCTTTTCTGATTACTTCGTTTTCTCTCCTAACGCTACACGGCGGATCAAGCTGAACCAGATTTGTCAGACACACAAAGGCAAAGCCTTGCAGAAAAATACTTCTCCTGCTACCTTGCATTCAGCACTGAGTCTAGTTCAGTTCTGTTAACTTACGGGGCGGCCTCTTCTTTTTAAGGCTAGGTTGTCCCAGAGTGATGCAATATGGGAAAAGCAGCCTACTGCAAACGCTGGACCAGCTAGCGATGCTTAAATGGAAAGAGGCTGTGTTAGAGCTTTCAGGATGAGATCTCTTTTGCCATGATCTTACTCTGAATCATGTATTTATTTAGAGCAAAGTGTCTGAAGTTGTGGCTGGTTACTTCATTGGTTTCTGAAGGAGCCGAGAAGGGTGGCGCTTGGGAGGGGACAGAATTAGTGCAATGCTTTTCCATCAGAAATTCCTTTATTATCAAAATATCTGAGGGAAGGAGGGGACTATGATTTCACCATGCCCGTTGTCAAACAAGGGTTTCTGCAAGCTTTAGTCTGCAGAGACTGAGTCTTCCTGGGGAGCAAAATGACCGTAGTTTGCACGACCCAAAGTATCCTTGCAGTTATCCGCAACCATCCCCATCCATTTTGTGGCTTCCCAGCAAAGGGAAAAGATACATCTTTCCTCTTCTACCCTTTCCGCAGGCCAGATGGTCACCATAGTAGACTGCAGCCAGGTGCCACTGGTGGAGTGTCTCCTCTCCCTGCGCAGACCCACAGAGGTGGAGGCAGGGAGGTGCTAACGCAGGCAGGGTGACTGGCCCCGGGGTCACCCAGGATGAGGTATCGGAGGTCATGCACCGCCCGGTTCAGCTGCAAAGCCCCGTGTTTCCTCTCAAGAGCATGGGGTGAACAGACACATTTTTACATTAAAAAAACCCAAGCAACTTCATCAGAACCCACATATGGTTTTGTTCAATTCTGAGGCACCCCAACCAGCTCTTTTAAATGTGGTTTTCTCTCTCCCCATTATCACAATTAGCCTCTCTAACTGCAGGCACAATTTCATTCAGGAGGGATTCAGCCCTCCAAGTCACGGGTCTAGTTCAGAAACGTCTGTACTGGGACACAGTGTACTTAGACCCAAGCACATGTTCAACCCAAACGTCTGCCCCAGTCCTTGGCCTCACCAGGACACCAAAACCAAGTCCTTGAAGAGCTAAGAAAAGCCTGGTAATAAACAGAAGCTCTTGTTACACCCTGTAGAGTCAGCAGTAACTTTCTATAAAAAGCATGAAAAATGAACATGAGGGTGGTGACAGTCTGGTGACACATGGTGACTAATTGCCAATAAAGCAATTAGGGAGAGGCCTGGTTCCCAGAGGATGGGGCTATTATTATCTTGTTCATGGTCAGCCTTACATTAATCATGGGACAGAGACAGACTGCTTCTTCGCCCCCTTCAAAATTAACTAAAACAAACAATTCTGAAAAGAAACAGTCCCAAAACGGCCACATTCTCAGCCTGGTAAATATTCTGTCATATGCAGGGGAGGACAATGTTATCTTCCGTATGGAAAATGCTTATCTGTGTAACCTGACCCATTTCTCTGGCTGAACATGGGGAGGAACAACTCCTGAAGAAGTTTGAACTCAGCCTCAGGAGCTTGTTTTCGCGCCGCTCGTAGCTCTACCCTTGTCCACCACTGTGGGTTCAAAGGGGTTTCAGTCAGTTTCAGTCAGGAAATACAGATCACCCTGTATTTCCAGGAGCAATGGAAGAATATACAAGTAATTTTCAAGCCAGAAAACTGAACCTAGCTAGAACCATCCCTAGTAACGCTCAGTCTGGCCGGGTGCACTGCTGGTAGACTTGAGTCAGAGCTCCAGACCCATGCTCTTCCAGGCTTATTCCTGTAAGAAAGGTGCATCCAAATCTCGCAGCCCTTCACTAATGGGAAAATGTTGACATTAAAGAAAAAAAAAAAGGACATGAAAACACCAAATTATTCCAGATGTCCTGTGAATTTCCCAAACAGCAGTGCTGGCGCTCACAAATCCATTGCAGCCACTCATGGAATATAAATCTGCTGGCTGTAAATAAAGAGGATCCCCTAAAGTATTCCCACACGAACAGAAGGAAGACTGGAAGCATTCAGAAAGCTAACGATTAACCCAAAGAGGAGAATATGGATATGATTATCCCTGTTGGAGAGATGCTGCTTTCCTCTCTAGGCCCTGCAGAGCTCCATGGCACTAGCTCCTATAGGAATGCTTAATTTGGCCAGATCGATTTTCCAAACTGAGAGTCATAGTGACAAAGACAAACCTTAATTTTTATCTGCTGCAGTGATCAAAGGGGTGTTTCTGTTTAACCAACCTGACATGATTTACTTTTGCGTATAAGATCTAGCCATATGTATATAGTGAAATCTCCAACTAGTACAAATAAATCGAGCTCTAAGCTCTGCCCTTAAGGGGGGATAAATCCAATATTCTGAGTAGGCTGTTAGACATAACAGTCAACATTTAGTGTAGACACACATCCATTCACATGATAATGACCTGGAAAATATGTATACTAAATACTGGGTCTATTTTGAAATAAATAAAAAACAGCTTTCAGGAGAATTGAAAAGTATTTCAATTATGAGAGACAAAAGCATAAGGAATAAAATCGGGCAGGAATGCAATTAGTTTTTAAAGGTGCAGTGTGCTCATTATGCAATGATTTACTAATAGATTTACAGTAGTGAGCAGATTTTTATGAGCTCGGATATTTCAGGCAATGAATGATCCGGCTTGTACTGTTTTGTGTCACAGACAAATGAATACAAAACTGTTTTTATCTGTCATTTCTGCTTGTTCAATAATTGGTCAATGAACTCCTTTGATACAAAACCCAGTTATCTCCCCCCCCCCCTCCAAAAAAATTTCCTTTTTGAATTTTTGTTCCTATGATCATTAACTAGATAAATGAATCTGAAGTAACGTCAGAGCTGTAGCTCTCTTGGGAGAGCTGCATGACTAGCAAGGAATTGAATGAGGTGCTAAAAGAGGGTCATATGTAGAAGAAATTCCTCCAGCATCCCTCCAGCAGAGCTAGGAGTCAAGCTGCATTTCCATCCCCAGAAAAAGTCACATTTCCCAGTATTTCCATTTTGGATCAGAGCGAGCCAGCCACAGCAGCTTTCCACAGAACGAAATTTTTAAATGCAATTCTAAAAAGCTAAGAGGAATTTTGGGGAGAAAAATTCCAAGTGATTCAGCCAGCCGGTGCCAGAAGCTAGACAATCGCAGTCTGGCAGGAGACAGGCAGAAGAGCCGGACGAGCGTTCTGCATGCTTGGCTCTGAGGAAGTCTCCAAGGCATGGCCCAGCCCTGCCCAGCGTGGCAGCTCCACTGAACCAGCACAGCCCAGCGGGAAGCTTTTGCCAGCTCTTCTTCCCCGGGAGCATTCCCGGCATCCTGAAGCATTTCCTGGGACTACTTCCAAAGGCACAGAAATTTAATGCATCAGGTGTGCACCTGATGGACATCTGTGGTTGACAGCCACTTCTTGTTCCTTGATGTCTCTCAGCAGCAACAGGGAGTGGTTTAATGCCAAACCATGGGATGACTCTTTTAGGTCCTGTGGAACCCCGCAGGGAGCTCCACGGCCCCCTGGGCCATATTGTCTTCTCACCCTCTTCCTCTCTTATACAGCAGCCCAGGAAACTTTTGCCACCTGGAGATACCAACACACACTGTCCAGATCAATGGGAGAAGGGGGGATGAGGGCATTTCTCTCCCTGGATTCCTTTCCCTTTTTGGCAATCCTTTCTTGAAAAAAACCACATCTCTCTAGAAGAAGGACTACAGGCCATGAAGGAGTAATTTTGCACACCCTGCCCCATTGCTACATTTTCTGCGTGAGACATAGGCAATATCTTCAGCCCAAACCATCTCCCCATGGGCTGACAGCTCCGTTTTAGCGTCAGGATCAGATCAATAAGTGGTTAAAAGATGGGAGACAAAGGACTGGAGAAGTGGAGCTAGGGCCTCCGCTCACAGAGATGTAATGAGACCTCAGCTGTTCAGCAGATCCATAAATGAGCTGGGGAAGGGAGCAAACACTGAGGTGGTAAAGCTTTGTAAATCTCCTTTTTTTTTTTTTTTTTTCTTTTTTCTGTCAAAGTGAAGCCTAACTGCAAAACTGCAAAGAATCTCAGGATACTGAGTGCCCAAGAGATCAAATAGCAGGCAAAAATCAGTGTTGGTAAATGCAATGTAATGCATTTCAAAAAAAAAGCAACTTCAATTATATATTTTTCAACAACAGTGGGTTCTAAATTAACTATCATTACCCAGGAAAAAAATGTTGGACTCTGTGGATAGCTCTCTCAAACTGCCAGCTCTTTGCTCGCCAGTAATCAAAAAAGATAAATAGAGAGTTAAGAATTGTTAAGAAGAAATAAAGAACAGACAAGGAAACACCTTTAGGCCACTGTATAAATCCATGCTGTGCTCATAGCTCGGCCACTGCAGCCTGCCCTACTTACCCCTTCCTGAATCTAGAAAAACTACTGCAAAGGGCGACAAGGATGCTTTAATGAAGGCAGCAGCCCTTTGTGAAGAGAGATGAAAAAGGCTCGGACTTCCAGCTTGCAGAACAGAATAACCGAAGGGAAAATCTGGTAGAGGTCTCTAATAGTGGAAAAGAAAAAGTGAACAGGGACGGACGATTAAATTATAACACAGAAGTAAAGAGGCATCCAATTCAGTTGTCAGGAAGCAGGTTTACACCAATAAAATGAACTGCTCTTTCACACAAGGCTCACTTGCCTTGTGGCACTCATTGCCACAGGATAGGGGAGGTACCAGAAGTATAAACGGTTTTCCTTTAGATAGATGAAGGCAAGGCTTTGAATGGGTACTAGCTACCTTGGCCTGGATTTATTTTCTGGCTGGATAAGTCAGTATGCCAGTGTGAGGGCAGAGCCATGGAAAGTTCATTTTACGCTTACACATGTTCTTGTCTTGTGCAGCCTTTCCCTGATCATCCACTGCTGGTGACTAAGGGAAGCTGGATGATAGTTTCAGTGAGTATTTCTGCATCCCAAAATACTGGGAGATGGGTTACTTGCTTTCTCCTCTTGATCTCATGCTTTAGAGCTGTGTCATATACTGGGTGATAGATCTCATTATAATGGTGCCAGGGATGGGGGTGGAGATGCTGTTTTGCCTGAAAGTGTGGCCTGATACTTTAATGGGGCCAGCTTTACCCCAAAAACAAAGGAGAGGAGCTGGGTACACATTCCCTTGCCTGGGACTTGGCTGGTGGTGGTTTAGTCTACTGACATATGTCCCAGCAGGACGAACTGAATATCCTTAAGGTTGTTGAATCCTGACCATTTGATCACTGGCATTTCAGAAAAGTTAATTTTTAAACCATCACAAAAAGCCTAGATGTACTGATACAAAGACAACATAGCAACAAACCATACATATGCCATCCTGACTGCAGCAATATATGTGCCCTCATTCTTCCACAGCCAGCTTGGCCACAGAAAAGGGCGCTGTGGCTCCCTGAAGCCCGGGCTGTTGTAGCCACCTCACGTGCCATTCACCACCTCTTGGTTGCAAATATTTCACAGAGTCACAGAATGATTGAGGTTGGAAGGGACCCAAATTTCCCAACCCCCTGGGGGTCTGTCGTGGTTTAACCTCAGCCGGCAACGAAGCACCACAGAGCTGCTCGCTTGCTCCCCCCTGGTGGGATGGGGGAGAGAATCAAAAGAGTAAAAGTGAGAAAACTCGCGGGTTGAGATAAGAACAGTTTAATAGGTAAAGCAAAAGCCGCGCACGCAAGCAAAGCAAAACAAGGAATTCATTCACTACTTCCCACTGGCAGGCAGGTGTTCAGCCATCTTCAGGAAAGCAGGGCTCCATCAGGCATAACGGTTACTTGGGAAGACAAACACCATCACTCCGAACGTCCCCCCCTCTTCCTTCTTCCTTACCCCCAGCTTTATATGCTGAGCATGACGTCATATGGCATGGGATATCCCTTTGGTCAGTTGGGGTCAGCTGTCCCAGCTGTGTCCCCTCCCAGCTTCTTGTGCACCCCCAGCCTACTCGCTGGTGGGGTGGGGTGAGAAGCAGAAAAGGCCTTGACTCTGTGTAAGCACTGCTCAGCAACAACTAAAACATCGGACTCTATCCCAGCCAAAACCAGCACAGGGTCTCCAAAGGCTCTACTTGGAGCTGGGGAGCCTTTAGGCTTCCATTGAACTCCACCATGGGGTGTCTCCTTCTGAAGAGTAAAAGTAGAGACAAACATACCCCGGGCCAGACCTCCCACTGATATTTAACTCTGACAGTCACACAGAAAGGACGAAAGGCTACAGAGGTCCCTGCAGTCATCCTTCAGATTAGCAAGTGTCCCTGAAATTTGTCCCTTGTAGGAACCCTGTCCACACGCCTGGTCTTTCCACCCCACTGCCATGAGTCACTGATGAACCACTTGGACAGTGTACAAACCTTCTCCCCCAGGGTATCTCATGTGCTTTCATTTTGATTTCTATCTTGTGAAACATTAGCATGTTAGGAGAACCAGAACACATTACGGTCTATGTTTTTCTGTGTACTTTTAGGAAATGCAGCAAGGAGTTGATAGCACTGTTAAAACACATGTAGTAATGTCACAAGCACCTCTCTCCGCAGGCTGGAATTTCCCTTGTGCTCTCAACTGATCGTCAAACTAAGCATGTACTCTGAATGGCTAAATTAGCACCGTGCTATGTTTTGTTTTACCTTTTCTGTAATGTACAGGACATGAAAGCCTATTAAAAGATTGAAGTAAAACTCCAAGCAGCATTATACTGTGTATTGAATCAAGGGCTGGATAACACGTATCAACCTTGCACGCTTCCTGGTGGGACATACCCTACCTTTCCATCCATCTCCTCACTGATACCTTGTCTCTTTTACAAGGAGGCAGCTAGCTTCAGAGTACTTTCTGAAAGCCAAGCAGCTCGCCAGCCACTATTCTTTCTGCATAAAACCTGTGAATACATTTCACAGCACAAGCATGGATCTCTGCTTAGTTTTCTTTGGGGTATAAACTGTTAAAGGAAGCAGTTTAACAGCAGCAAATATACCAGCTGCATATGTCTTGAGGCACAGATGGCAGACAAACAAATAGACATATTGGTATCACTGTACAACACGATTTGCTTACCAGATTGAGGACTGTCAAATATTTCCACTGCCCACCGTAAAGGAACACTTCAGATGGCCGCTCTTCTGTTCTTACGTGCGTGATTGAATAGGTGACAAAAAAATACCAGACAAAAGCAAGGCAATGGTACATTGCGAGAGTAGAGATTTCCATGCTTTAGATAAGAGCAAGTGATAATCGGTCCGAAAGCAGCTTTTCTCTAAGTTCCTCGGTCGCTGTGCATGGGAAATGGCAGGGCAGGAGGGTTTACTTCAGAGCAGACTCAGGACACTTGCCACTTTGCTCTCGTTGAAAGGAATATTCACAAGGCTGTGAACTTTGCTGCTATTTGTTTCCTTTTTCACTGTACAGATAGGCTGGGGGGCGTGAGAAGAATAGGCTAATTCCCCAGATTTAAATGCCTTGCTCAAGATTAGTGAAGATTAGTTGTGGAGTTACATAAGTTTTTGTGGTTTTTTTTAAAAGTGGGGGGAGCTTTGCTGCTGATTTTGCGTAACGGGCTCTCATGCTTTAGGTAGCAAGTGAAAACAAGCGGCATTTTCCTCGCTCATGGCTATGGGTGCAGCCATGTCTCCAGCTCAGCTTGGGAAGACTCTGCGACTGTTTTTTCCTTGTGCCAAAGGAAGAAGTGGGAAACATAATGGTCTGTGAAAGAAAAAACGAGTTGATTTGTTGATCGGCTATGGAGGTGGCAAGGAAGCTGAGAGGATTCGTAGGCAAAGGTCCTTGGGGTTGAAAATCACTGCGAGCATTGACTTTTTTTTGTGGGAAAAGGCTCTGCTGCCTTTACGCCGCTCCACGCAGCTGGGATCCATCACAACCATGCACTGCAGGTCGGTCAGACCCCGAGTCGCTTTGAAGCTCTGGCAGGGGTGGAGACACAGGGCAAAGGCCTTGGGTGACAAACCCTAAGCACTGAGCAGGGCGTCTCGCCTACCTGCTTCTCTACTTGCTGCCATTCACCTTCAGACAGCCCCTCTTTCCTGGCACAACATTATCGCGCCGTCAGGGCTGGGGTACAGAAGAGAAGAACTGATACTCATGCAATGATCCTAAAATGAAGCAATCAAGAAAGTTCCCATGGAAATGCTCATTTTTCCCTCCCTTCCTGCCTCGCCAAGCAGCCCCAATTAGCACTGGAAAATACACATGGCATTTCCTATTTGGGCCAGAGTCTCCGTAATTGCAGTGCTGTCAGCAGTAATTGCCACCTGAGTGTTTCACGGGGGCCTTGGTGGGGAGCGGGTACCGTGCCCAGCCCGCACCCGGACTTTCCCCATGCAGGATGGGGAGAGGGGGTGCTCTTCTCACCCCTGTGGAGGCTGTCCCCATGGGCAGGGCTGGGCTTCGGCCAAGCAGACTACATTAAGGGATCTCTTTGGGTTTTTTGCCCTTCCAACTGGCCTACAGGCAGCATTGAGCAATCTGCTGTGTTTTGGTTTGTTTTGGTTTTTCTCCTGCATTTTTTTTTCCCCCTGATACCAGACGTAAGGCTTCATGTGGGATGATTTCCTATGAACTCAGACAGCAATGTGCATGCATGTTGGGAAACAGCCCTTGCACTAAGGCACTGCAATATCCTCCTGTGTTTCATTGACTTCTCCCCTAATTCAGATTACCCGCATCCAGATTCCCCAGGCATTCCAGCCATCACAATTCCAATGAAATATTTCTGCCTCACTTAGGAAAAATAAAGATGTAGATCCTTTTGTGGTTGTTAGAGGTTGGAGGAGAAAACCCCTTGCAGAAGAAAAAAAAAAAAAAAAGAAAAAAGATGGGAGTATGTTTTTTGGACTCTGACAATGTCACCAGTCTTTTCCTAGGAAATCTAGCAGAAAAGGGTTTTCAATTGCTTTTACAGACTTTCTGGGGAGGGGCAGTGCTGTCATGAGTTGCTTCCTCTGCTCCTCCTTGTTAAGACTCATCCTTGTGACAAAAGGCAGGAACAGAATAGGACTACGGCATGGAAGGGCCCTTTTTATTAGTGATTTGCATATCAAAGGCACCAGGCAGTCAGCACTTAACAACTTATCTTCACACCAGTCTTTCTGAGGTTTTGCTATAGTGCAACTTTAAAAATGGGAAGGCATGTGCTTCTGCTCAGCAGGTGCCCGAATGCATGCAAATGAATGTAAATATATGCAAAATGGCAAGGTATGTTTTTTCTTTTCTGGAGGATCTTGGCCAGTATGGCTGGGAAGGTGTCAAGTACAGTGACAGTTTTCTGATGTGGACACCTGTCCCACAGACTGAGACCATCTGCTTTGTTTTCCCATATACAAGAAGCAAGATCCATATCCTTCAGCCTAGATAAGGCATGAAGTTCGGATGTAGAAACACGGCAAAGAAAGGATGAGCGCCAGATAGGATCTGAAGTCTAACACCCCACACTTCATGGAGTCTTTCTTGTTTCACTGCCAGTGTGTTGCAGCAAGCAAATACACTGGAAAAGTGGCATCTTATGCCTTCTCTCCATGGGTATGAACATCTACTGAAGGTTCAATAGAACAGGAAATTCAGCCCAAAACTTTTTGCAGGAGTGGAGGGGAGGAAGAAAGGAGGAGCACACAGGGGCACGGGCAGATGTGCTGCTGCAGATCTTGCTGGATGGTTTAGGGAAATACCATTTTCCATCTGCTTGCCACCACACCCCAGCTCAAATCTGCCGCTCCCCACAGCTGAGCCACATTCATGCACTCTGCCAATGCTCCTAGTCTGCTTCAGGGGCTCATCTGATTTCAGCAGCAACAGCTGACTTTGTGCTGAAGCAATCTGGGAGCTCCCACTTAGTCCATTAGCTGAAGAATAGTAACAAGTAACTGGAGCTGTAAATCACCTTGTATACACACAAAACGTCCCCTGCTCATGCCCCCTTCTAGGGGAGTGAGTCAGGCCAGCTTGCCTGACTTTGCACTGAAATGGGCTTGACTCACTCATATTATTAGTATGGTTCAGGTACAGAGATGACAGCAAACAGTGTAAACTGGCAATATCTTAGACCAACATGTCTGTTTGTAATGTCACTGTGTGGCTCCACTGATGGGCATGGTATTTCCAGGCTATCGAGCAGTCCCCCGTAAGTCCATCATTACCATACAGTGCTTGGCTACCACCTCAGCCTGTCTCTAATGAAGCATCTGGTAGAAACAAATATTCCTGCTTCCTCATGGGCTGACAATTTGTTTACAGACCAGTTAGGCACCTTCCAAATATTCGTCAATATTTTTGCACTGGCAAGGTTTGCTCTCTGTCAGGGCAGCATCCAGTGATGGCAGAACAAGCGAGAGCAAGGCAGGAAATTACTGGCAGGTGACAGCAGTTAAGGCCAGGTGGGAGGAAAGGATTCAAAGCCAAACAAAGCCCTAGGAAACGTTCGGGGGCCTAAAAAACAAAACTGGGTCTTTGCATCTAGCTTTCTTTTCTAGGCACAATCTAAGAACAAGGGACTGATACGTAGCTGGGACTTGCTGCGGTCAGAGGGATCTTATAGGGTGAAGAAAACACGAGGAGCTGGGTAAGTACGTTTTTCTTTTAGTTTTCTGACACTTGTTTCTGTCCTCAATGCAGTTCTGTTATCTCATGTGTGGATTTCATAATTTATTTATTTTTAATTTACTGCTATGGTAAGCTGGCTTGTGTTAAGGGCGGCATTCCTTGAAAGCAGGACCGAGGGCCGTTCTTGTACAACATCCTCCATGCATTACGTGAGTGTGTCCAGACTTAATAGACCCCATCTCTGCTACGTTCTGGTTTAGTTGCAGGCAGTGCAGGGCTTTGTGTGGAAGAAGCATTTTCTGATAAGCATTAGCCAAGAAAGCTTTTTAAGCACGTAGCATAAGGCTGATGGAGCTCTGTGTCCCCAGGGATATCTGCAATAATGATTTGTTCTGTGACGGTCCTGACATATGAAATGAAACATGATTGACAAAATTGCAAGCCTGGTATAGTCTGCTCCAGGCATCCTCAAATCCTGAGGGAAACTCCCCAAAATCATGTGGTTAGTGTAATTCACAAGATTTAATTCTCTCTGGCCAATTTGTCTTGGGCTTTAGTAGCTTGTAGGGGTCTGAGTTTTCCAACTCTTCTTCACAGCTGTGTAAGCGGCAAGTGTAAAAATGTTTAAACTGCTAATAAAAGCTGAGGGCATTGCCCAGCGATGCCGCAGTGATAGCGACGACTAATGAAAATCAATAAAAATATCCTGAAATATTTCACTAAAAACCTGAAAATGGGCAATGCTGCAACATCTACCCGCTGTGTATGGCAAGCGGGAAAGTTATACAGTTGAAAGACAGCTTACGCATCCTCCTGCATGGGCCTGTCTTCTTTATCTTGTGTGAGATTTCTTTTTTTTAAAAATATGTATTTTTAAGGAGAAGACAGGAAGTGGTTTATCTCATCTTGATATGCTTGTTCTGAATTGTTTTTAAAAAGTTGTTCCAAACTGCCAAAATCCAGAGGGATTTTTCAGTCCCAAAGTGGTGACTGGTGTACAATTCAGTAGTCGGAAATACTCATTCAGATTTCAGAGTTTCTCCCCCCACATTGAGTTCCACTGGATTTTAAACTATATGTTTACTCAGACTGCTAAATGAAATGTCACATTGATCCAGAAACAAAACTTCCTGTGTAACAATGATTTGACATTTCTGACTCTCTTAAATGAATGAAAATGATGACATTAATCAAAACAAAACCTTTTCTTTCAGCTAACAACTTGGGCTCTAAAAGTAGGTATGTTGAAAGTAAGAAACACTTGATTGGAAACGGTCTTGCCTGTCTCATTATCTCCAACTCGTAGTGGAAATCAGTAATTGTTTGCCTTATCACCAAACCCCAACAGTGTCTCCTCTCTTGGCAAGGTGAATACCACTTAGAAATAAAAGACGTGGTTTTCATTGATTCTCAACAGCTTCCAAGCACTTACATACTTTTTGAAGAGATATATAACATTGCTTCTCAATTTTACCTTTTCCCTTTTCTGTCAGAAATGCACAATTAATCTTTGATCATTTTGAAAGATTGTGCACAAACAACCTGAAGTTCAGAGCGAAACAAACAAACAAACGCACGCCACAGCGTACTAGGGAAGAAATGGCATGGTATTTTTTAGATCTTGGATACATGAGGTATGACTGGTTCTCATTAGACTC